CAGAGCCCGATGCGGGGCTCGAACTCACGGACCGCGAGATCGTGACCTGGCTGAAGTCGGACGCTTAACCGACTGCGCCACCCAGGCGCCCCTAAAATTTACCATCGTAACCATTTTTAAGGGTACAGCTCAGGTATGACATACATTTGCATGGTTGTACAGACATCCCCTTGTGTCATCTCCTCTGTGGAATCAAAACTCAGTGCCTCTTAAACAGGAAGCCCCTTCTCCCATCCCACCAGCACCTGGCAGGCACCATCACACTTTCTGTCTTTATGATTTCGACTACTTTAAGTAACCTCATGTAAACTAATCATATTATTTATCTTTTTGTGTCTGGCTTCACTTAACATAACATCCTCAAAGCGGATCCATGATGTAGTTCGCAGAATTTCCTTCCTTTTTAAGGCTGAATAAATAGCCCATTATGTACGTGTGTGTGTGCGTGTGTGTGTGCGCACGTGCACACGTGCACGTGTGCAGCCATGATTTCTGATAAGAAACACACCACCCTTATTCTCCCCTCCCCTCCTTCCAGGGCATCAAAATCCCACGGAGAAGTTTTTCAAACCACAAATGCTAACTGGAAAATTCTAAAATGAACATGTGTGATGCAGACTGGGGGCTGGGTACCAATGGGAACAGCTGTGAGTGACATGTTTGAACACATACATGTGATTCTTCCCTTCATTAAAATCCTAAAACTTGTCATATATTACGTAACACAATACTCTAGTGAGTTATATTTAAAATATGTAGCATCCATTCATCATCTCATCATTTGTATTTTTAAAGCCACCACTCATTATACTTTCTTTCCACTTTGATTATGAAGCTCACATAGCCTGGTAGATTCCCTTAAATTCCATGTGTTTAAGCACATGGAGTTTCAGTATTTCTTTGGACAGCAAATTCTCAATAAAAATCTAAACTGCTGATCTAGTCAGTTAGTTTTAGATAGCAGTCAAGAGACACCTGGGAAAGCTTATAAATGAATGAAGACGTGGATGAAAAAAATAAAGGAAATAATAGAGAAATGAAAAGAAAACAGAGGACAATCTTTCTTCCCACGTCCCCAAAGTGACTGCATGATCAAGTTCTAACACTGTATTAAAGGACTTGCCTTTGAGGCAGAAATTTGAGACAGTCACCTACAAGACCAAATGTAAGAAAACTAAAAAACAGTTTATGGTATTTAAAAGTACACTTAGAGGTAGCCAGGTGGCTCAGTCGGTTAAGCGTCCAACTTCAGCTCAGGTCACGATCTCACAGTCTGTGGGTTCGAGCCCCGTGACAGGCTCTGTGCTGACAGCTCAGAGGCTGGAGCCTGCTTCGGATTCTGTGTCTCCCTCTCTCTCTGACCCTCCCCGCTCACGTGCGCGCGCGCTCTCTCTGTCTCTCTCTCAAAAATGAATAAACATTAAAAAAATCTTTAAGGGGCGCCTGGGTGGCGCAGTCGGTTAAGCGTCCGACTTCAGCCAGGTCACGATCTCGCGGTCCGGGAGTTCGAGCCCCGTGTCAGGCTCTGGGCTGATGGCTCGGAGCCTGGAGCCTGTTTCCGATTCTGTGTCTCCCTCTCTCTCCGCCCCTCCCCCGTTCATGCTCTGTCTCTCTCTGTCCCAAAAATAAATAAACGTTGAAAAAAAAATTAAAAAAAAAAATCTTTAAAGTAAAAAATTAATTAAAAGAATTAAAAGTAAGAATTGAGAAAATACAAAATAAAGAGCTGGAGTACAGTAAGAAAGATGTGTTTTGGGAGCAGCAGTTCTGGAGAAAAAGGAGTTCAGCCAGCAGAACTGGCAAGCCCCTCAGCACACTCAGAAGAGTGGCCAGTGACCAAGCCCCACAGCACGAGGCCATGGGAAGGGGCCACAGGAAAGGGAAAAGACAGGTGAGGATGAAAGAGGAGACTGTGTGACAAATGAGAGCGTGGCGACACTAGAATTGGCGTAAGAACCAGGAAAGCAAGACCAACGGGGCTGAAACCAAGCGCATGAACAGGAAGATAATTTTCATGAAGAGTACACGTTTGTCTCTGAATGCAAATGACGTGTGGCAAGACTGCAGAAAGACTGGTCATGGGGAAACAGAAGGTAAATAAACTCAGACTTCGCCTCGGAAATGAGAACCAGCGACCACTATGCCCAGGGAGTCCAGCCCCTCATGCTCCTCCGGGCCATGACCTGCAACACCTCTTGACTGGTCCTCACCTGGGTGGGTCTCCCGGTGAGTCCCTCTCTCCACCAGCCACGGCTCTTCTCCTTTCTCCAACTGAAGGATCACATCTGGTTTGGGAAGCTGATGCCCTGTGCATGGTGAAAGATAAAGAATTGGGCAAGGGTTGGGAAGCTCTGTCCTGGACACAAAGAGCATCCCAGATTCAGCCCCAACCCCAATCCCTTCTTAGTCCCGGGGGGACTCTCAAAAGTAGACAAGGGGAGGCTACATATATATATATATATATATATATATATATATATATACACACGCACACATACACATACATATACATATACATATATATATATATCCCACACACAAACACAAAAGTAGAAGTGAGTACAAAAGCCCTCTTCTCTGCCCCAAGGAAATCACATCCCTGGCCCCAAGCTCATACTCTGATATACGTGCTTGACGATCTCCATACCTTTTGATCAATGAAGAACCAAAATCCTCACAGGGGGATAGCTCCGAGAATACAACTTAGTCTTACCCAAGGAAACCAGGTTCTTATAGTTCTCCAGCATCACATCTTTGTACATGATCTGCTGAGCAGTATCCAGCAGCTTCCACTCCTCCCTGGTGAAGTTCACAAGTACATCCTTGAAGGTCACCAGTGCCTACAACATGGAACAAATCTGTATCAAGCCAGATGTATATTTCCGCCCTTCCTTCCTGAGTACAGACAGAAAGAGAATTAGGCAGACAGCACTGGGGTAGGGAAAGAGAATGGGCCAGAATTCATTCCAGAAGTGAGCAGTATTTATTTCGGATTCTGATCAAGTCCTAACAGGAATGGCTATTAGATACCTACTGTCTAAAATCCAGTTCCATGTTATGCTCTAGGTTTAGAAATTGTCAGAACTTGTATTTAAATCAACTCTGTTACGACACCTACAGCAAGGAGCATCAGACACCAAAAGTTAATCTACATTTATATTACGTGAAATAAAGAACCCAATTCAGGGCAGAAAAAAGAGGGACACAGCAGTCTTCAGTTCAAGTATAACTTCATGCTTCAGAGACCAAACTCACCATGTTTTCTGATCTAAAATAATTATCCAAAACATTTTTCCTAAACATTGGTAGGTAGGCATTTTTTTTAAATTTTTTATTTATTTGTATTTTATTTTTGAAGGAGAGAGAGAGAGAGACAGAGCATGAGCCGGGGAGGAGCAGACAGAGAGGGAGACACAGAATTCGAAGCAGGCTCCAGGCTCTATGCTGTTAGCACAGAGCCCAACGTGGGGCTCGAACTCACGAACTGCAAGATCATGACCTGAGCTGAAGTCGGATGCTCAACCGACTGAGCCACCCGGGCGCCTCCATGGTAGGCATTTTTTTTAAATGAAGATTTGACAAAGAAACAATAGACACAGAAGCAAGGCCTTTATTAGCTACATTAAAAAGAAATGCTGACTACACAGAGAAACAACACCTACTTGAAGGAGGATATCTCCTCAAGAACCATGAAGGTCAGAAGACCGTGGAATAATAGCTTTTTAAAAGCTGCAAGAACTGTCAGGCCAGAATATCCAGTGAAAATATCTTTCAGGAATGACGCAAAATATACTCTCAAGTGAAGTAAAAGAATTTGTCCCCAGCAAACCTGCTGTTCTAAAAGACACGCTAAAAGTAGTTCTTTAAGCAAAAGGGAAATATTAACAGAGAGAAACTTTAAATCCCAGGAATGAAGGATGAAGAACAAAAACGGTAAACATCTGGGTAAATATTACTAGTTTTCCTAACTCCTTCAAAATATGTAGCACAGTGAAAGCAAAACCCACAGCACTCCTCGGTGGGATTTTCCACATACGCAGAGATAGTATGTGTAGGACGCTCCAGGGGAGGAAGCTGAATGAGGCACCAGGGGCCCCGTCTCCCACCCTGGATGCTCCCAGAGGTTCCATCCCCCAAGCTCCTCGTGCCCTGGCTGTGGTCACCCCTGGATAAGTACATAACTTGTGCCTGAGCTCCTTCCGACAGGAGCTCCCCAGGGAGGCATCACGTAGCCAGCTCCACATCTAGGACAACCAGGGCCAGAGAGACCCACCAGGCACGAACACTCCCAGTTCCCACATCATTTTGTGTGGAGGAAGCATGCTGTGGCTTTCATCCCCAATGTGGATGAAAGCATGTTGTCAGAATCCTCAATATCACCCAGTTGGCTCCTGCCCACATCACTGCTAAACCTCTATTTCTTTTACATGGAAGGAAATAAAACTACATCTACAAACAAGCAAACAAAATAGTGCCAGTCTCCCAAAGAAGAGTGTCCAAGATATAATTTCTCAAGTTCCTAGTCAAAGGACTCCAAAACTCAAGGAGAAAGGGGTTCTCAGTTGGAAAACAAAGAAGGCAGCCCAACTTACATGGGACCGGGCCGTTAACAACTTGGTCTCCATGCCCTCCTTGTTCTTGATGATGCTTTTTTCAGTAATGAAGATCCTGAGGAGGAGAAGGCAGAAAAAAGAAAGAAACGTAAGGAAGGTTTGCTATCATGGGGAGGTTTCATAAACCATCAACCTAGACTCCCTCATACTTGGCTGAGTATAATGCAAACACCCACCACACAAAGAGGAACATCAGAGATAGTCCAAAAACACATCTACAGTGCTGAAATTCCCAGGAGCAGGAAGAAAAGAGCTATGTCGATTGGAGTTTTTCCCCTTAGTCTCTAGAGTTCCACGCAAAATTTCATTTGCAATTTATATGGTTCTACTGCTACAAATTCTCTTTTTTGAGAAAAACAAACCAAAAAACCAAACCCGCCTCGATCTAATATCCTTACAGATAAGAAAACAAGTGTTTCCTCCAGCTGATCACAGGAGGGAAGTCAGAGATTGGAAGCACAAGAACACTGGGATGGGCCACTACTGGCCCGTAGGTGGAGGCTGCCACACAGCAAGGAGTGTGGGCGGCCTCGGGGAGCTACGAGCAGCACCCAGCTGACAGCCAGTCCTAGGACAGCGTACAGTCACAAGGAACCGCGTTCTGCCGACAATCAGAGCCTCCAAATGAGAACCCAGGCCAGCCAACACCTTGACAGCAGCTGTTGGGATAGCGGAGCAGAAAACCCAGCCAGAGTGTGTCAGACTTCCACCTACAGAACTGTGAGCTAGTACACGGGTGCTGTTTGAAGCTACCAAGTCTGAGATAATCTGTTACACAGCACTAGAAATCTAATGCATGGTCAATTATCTTTTAAAGTCACTTAAACAATAAGGAAAAAATATTATATATTTACCTACGTAGTTACCATTGCCAGTGCTTTTCATTCTTTCCAGTAGATCCAGATTTCCATTTGGTTTCATTTCCTTTCTCCCTGAAGGACATCTTTTAACATTTCCTGCAATGTGGGTCTGCTGGTAATAAATTCTTTCAGCTTTTTAAATCTGAGAATGTCTTCATTTTGTTTTGTTTTTTTTTTCAAAACAGCTTTACTGAGACATAATTCACATACCATACAATTCATCCACTCAAAGTACACAATCACAATGGTTTTTGGTAATTACATTATTCATCTTTAAAATTCTAGTAAAAAAATTAACAAAATTTGCTTATTATTGCTAAGTGTACAATTCAGTGGCATTGATTACATTCACAATATTGTACAACCCTCACTAAGAATTCTAAACTTTCTAATCATCCAATGGAAACTCTGAAACATTAAGCAAACTCCCTATTCCTCAGACTCTGATAACCTACTGTCTCTCTGAATTTGCCAATTCTAGATAATCATATAAATAGATTCATACAATATCTATCTTTTTGTGTCTAGCTTACTTGACTCAGCATAATGTCTTCAAGGTTCATCCATGCTGTGGCATGAATCAGACCTTCACTCCTTATAATGGCCAGGTAATATTCCAGTGTATGGACAGACCATGTTGTTTACCCCATCGTCTGTTGATGGACCCTTGGGTTGTTTCCATCTAGTGGGTCTTGTGAATGGTGCTGCTGTGAACACTGGTGTACAAGTACCTGCTTGAGTCCCTGCTTTCAATCCCTTCGGGTCTGTACCTAGGAGCAGAATTGTTGGGTCATATGGTAATTGTGTGCTGAGCTCCCTGAGGACCCACAAAACTTTTCCACAGTAGTAGCGTCCTTTCAGTCACACCAGCAACATCCAAGGTTCCAGTTTCCCCACATGCTTGCCAAAACTTGTTATTCCATTTTTTAGATTATTACAGCAATCCTAGTTGGTTTGAAGTGATATTTCATTGTAGTTTTGATATGCATTATTTTCACGTACTTAGTGGCCATCGGACAAGTGTCTTTTCAAGTCCTTTGCCCATTTTTAAATTAGTTAAGTTTGTGTTTTTGTTATTGAGTTGTAGTTCTTTGTACATTCTACATATGAGCATGTATACATACACAAATATGTTTACGTATTCTGTGTATATTAAACCCTTATCAGATGTATAATTTCCAAATAGTTTCTCCCATTCTGTTGGTGGTCTTGTCTTTGTGGTTGAAATGTATTTTTGCTGAATACAGAATTCTAAGTAGAGGGGCGCCTGGGTGGCGCAGTCGGTTAAGCGTCCGACTTCAACCAGGTCACGATCTCACGGTCCGTGAGTTCGAGCCCCGCGTCGGGCTCTGGGCTGATGGCTCAGAGCCTGGAGCCTGTTTCCGATTCTGTGTCTCCCTCTCTCTCTGCCCCTCCCCCGTTCATGCTCTGTCTCTCTCTGTCCCAAAAATAAATAAACGTTGAAAAAAAAAACAAAACAAACAAAAAAAAAACGGTTCTCACCCACAACATCTGTTACAGAGGACACTGTTGGCCTCTGGAATGTTCTTGAAGCTCTTTATTTACTTTGCCTCCTTCACCACCTCGCTTCCCTCTGTATATCTTGGTTCTTAGTCTCCTCTAATGATTTCAAAAATTATGATGAACTTTAATGTAGGTTTCCCTTTGTTGCATCCTCAGCCTTTCTTGGTGTCCATTTTCAGTGACGCCCTAGGCACTATCAGGACACAGAATATCTACTTGTTTTATCCTGTCTCTCCCACTGCATGGCACACAACAGACCTAAGTGTTTCAGCTAGAATGAACAGATCACTCTGTCTTCTATCCCAACCTTGTTCCTCAACCCCAAGCGCATATTTCAAACTGTGCTCCCAAACTTACTAAGTGGCTTCTTAACCTCTCATGGAGCTTACTTTTCATGTCAGATGAATAAAGGCTGAAATAACCAGGGATGTTAAACTACATAAGAAATCACTTTATGGAAGCAAGAGAATGGTTTTCACATATTTAGAGGTCCTGTG